TACTTACACAAACCTAGATGACACAACTTGTTACACACCTGGGGTCTATGGTACAGCCTGTGGTTCCCAGGCTACACACCTGAACAGCAGGTTACTGTACTGAACAGTACAGGCAGTTGTGACACAAAGGTAAGTGTTTATATATTCAAACATATCTAAACATAGTCATGGTACAGTAAAAATATAGTATAAAATTTTGTTTAAATGGTTTACCCGTCTAGGGTACTTCCCACGAATGGAGCTTGCAGGACTGGAAGTTACTCTGGGTGGGTCAGTGAGTGATCGTGAATGTGAAGGCCTAGGACATTACTATAGACTCTATAAACACTAGACACTTAAAGTACACTAATTTATTTAAAGCTTTTTTTTTCAATAATAAATTAACCTTAGCTTACTGTAGCTTTTTTACCTTATATACTTTTAAATTTTTAAACTTTTGGACTCTTTTAGTAACATTTAGTTTAAAACATAAACATTGTACAGATCTATAGAAATATTTTCTTTATATCCTTATTCTATAAGCTTTTTCTATTTTTAAAATTTTTTTAATTTTTAAAACTTTTTGATCAAAATCTAAGATGCAAATACACACACTGGCCAGGGCCTAAATAGGATCTTTCACCTTCATATCTGTCGCACTGAAAGGTCTTCAGGAGCAATAATTTGCATGGAACTGTCATCTCCTATGACAACAATATCTTCTTCTGGAATACTTTCTGCAGGAACTGCCTGAGGCTGGTTTAACATTTATGTTTAATACATAGAATGAGTATACTGTAAAATAATGATAAAATGCATAGTAAATGCATGAACCAGTACCATTGTCATTTATTATCATTATCAAAGCATAAATGAATATGCTAGGCTTTTATACGACTGGCAGTGCATGGATGTATTTATAACAGCATCACTACAGACACTGAGTAATGCATTGCACTGTGACATTACCACGTCTGCAACATCATGAGATGGCAGGAATTTTCTATGGCTCTATTTTAATGTTATGGGACCATTGTCCTACATGCAGTCGAAACATTGTTATGCACAGCACATGACTGTGTATTAAGGGTGAAAAGAAAAGCACACAGGCCAGACTCAGTGGCTCAGTCTGTAATCCTGCGCTTTGGAAGGCCAAGGTGATTGAATTGCCTGAGCCCTCAGGTTCGAGACCCGCCTGGGCAACTTGGTGAGACCTCATCTCTACAATAAATAAATAAAAATTAGCCAGGGGTGGTAGCACACACCTGTAGTTCCAGCTACTTGGAAGACTGAAATGGAAGGATCGCCGGAGCCCAGCAGGTCGAGGCTGTGGTGGCCGGGATCATGCCACTGCACTCCAGTCTGGGCGACAGAGTGAGACTCCGACTCAAAAAAAAGAAAAGAAAAGCACACAAATGATATACCACAGGATGGATAATGGCAGCAATGAAAGAAAGTGACATAAGTATTATGGAAGTTTAAAGGAGGAAGACATTATTTCAGTGAAGATTAGAGAAGTTGAGGTTTAGGAAGCGCATTGAAGGCAGGGTAGATTTTGGACATGTGGACATATGTGAGTCCAGGATGGGGGGAGAACACAGGGAGGAAGTGATAAAATTGGAGCAAAAGTATGTGAAATGGAGTGAGGGAGGAAGTGTGGAAGGGCAGAAGACCCTTAAAGACCAATATTAGGAATTTTGATTCCTCTGGAGGCACTTGGGAGCCACTGAAAGTTTTTGAGCATGCTGGCTGTAAGTGGGAGGATAGTGTGCTTAGGTGTGTGCTTAGACGAGGTAAGTCAGGCAATAAAATAGAGGATGGGCTTTAGTAGAAAGAAATTGATGGCAGCATGGACATCAAATAGAAACTAAAGCAGTCACACCAGGTGAAAGCTAATGTGGGTTTAAGATTGGGGTAGGAGGAATAGAGGGTGGGAATGGATCTGAGGGTGAATAGGAGGAATGGAGAGGGGTATGATCTGGGGGGTGGGTTGAGAGGAATGGAGGGGAATGATCTGAGGACTGGTAGGAGGAATGGAGGGGAGATATAGGTGGGTTTTTGCAGTTCAGTGGATAAGACCTCATGTATATTGGAAGTGAGACTTTTGAGAAAAGGAGAAATTTTAAACTGAATTTGAGGTTTGAAATTGGATTAACTGGAAGGTCAAAGAAGAAACATAAAGGAGAGGACACTGATGTCAGAGGACATGAGCTTGAATAGAGGATACTGAGTTCACAGTGCTGAAATTTCTGATGCCAGGCCTGCAGTTCTTCTGGTTAAATGGAGGGCAGGTGTTGGGATGAGTTGGGGTGAGACCAAGGCTAAGAGGCCACCCACCCAGGTTGCCATCCCTGTTGTGTGAGGCCCTGCTTTGTGGACCAGACTCTGCAGGCCTCATGGGAATGAGACTTATCCAGTTCACAAGCATGTTTATCCATGTGTTTTTCAAAACTTAAACATGTAAAAATTAAGCCAACACTTTAAAGCTGGAGATTATACTTAAAGCACTGACTTCTGGCTTTTCTTTTAAAAATAAAAAGATATGACTACGATCTCACATGGCCATGTGACAACAGCAGCTGGAGCTAAACAGAGGCTGCCCCCTTGAGATCCTGAGTGATTTCTCAATTCACCTTAGGTCCTGCACTTCCCATCACCTCCTCAAGTTTAAAGATTAAAAGCCAGTTGCTAAATCTATAGAGATGAAAAATAGATTCATGGTTGCCTAGGAGTGGGCAGGGAAAGGGGAGCTGGGGGCTGATGGCCAATGGGTATGGGATTTGTCTTTGGGATGATGAAATGTCCTAAAGTTGGTTGTGGTGGTGGTTGAACAATTCTGTGGATATAGTAAAAGCCATGGAATTGTACACTTGAAATGGGTAGATTGTATGATAAGTGAATTATCTCAATAAGGCTTTTCTCTAAAATACAAATGTAGTTGCCATTGCAGTGTTGGTTTTCTTATAGCAGAAAATCTTTTTCTATCAAAAAGGGGAAAATGAAAGGGAGATTAAGACAGTTGTGAATTTCAAGATAGATATAGAGACTGCAGCTCTTTGTAGCAGTAATGATTTCCACATGTTAATATGCAAGCACCTGGCCTCCTTATTAACATCCGTTACTTTCCGAGCCACTGAAAGCATTTGCTATTAGACAGGAAAAAATGTGTCTGTGCCCCACTCCCTGAGGTCCACCCACAACTAAGAAGGGAGAGAGAAAAAGATGGAGACGAGAAAGACGTCATCCACATGGTAAAAGGAGAAGCAGAAGAGACCAGGAGATTGGATGCCAAGGAAGGAGGAACCTTTATCACCTGCTGACAAGAGGTCAAGAAGGATGAGGACAGGGAAGTCAGGAGGTTATAGGAAACCAGCCAATGAGAGAACTGAGAGAGATGGGGCCAGAGATATGCAGAGGCAGCTGATGCATGCTCAGGGTATGTTGTTCAGGAGTTAGGATTCCGTCTCAGACATGGAGGACTGATGGGGCTCGAGTAGGTGATCAGATCAGAACAATCTGGATGATCTGTTTCACATTAATATGTGCATGTTTTAAACTGTGTGCATGTTGAACCAAGGTCATCCCAAATTTCATTCTTTCCTATACTAAATTCTCCTTCAATCTGAAATCCCCAGGCTTGTTGAGACACCCTCCCATCATTGATTTCCATCTAATTTATTCCTGTACCTGCTTGAACCAAGAAATGACTGGTGTTATCTAATCCAGGAGTTCTGAGCCTCAGTATGTTATAATTCTTTGTTGTGGCTTGCTATCCTATGCATTATAGGATGTTCAGCAGCATCACTAGCCTCTGCCTCCTAGATGCCAGTAGCACTCCCACTGAGACGTTGCTAAGAAAATTGCCCCCGGCCAAAAACCTCTGAACTACATGTATCTATCATAGCACCTGGGTCCAGAAGCTTAAGGCCATGTGTAGTTGGTAGACCATCCTGAGAGCACTGACCTGGGAAAGAGGACCAATTCCTACTCCACACTGAGGGGGTGCAGATCACTTGATGCAGTGCCAGGGCCACAAATGAGAAGCTCAAGGCCCCGTGGGCTTTAGCTAGCTCAATGGATGTCAACCTTCTGTACTTGATGTCCTCAGTGAAAAGAGACAGTATCTGGAGGCTATAAGGCAGATTAAACGTACAGCTGTGCCTCCCTAGGGTGAGGATTCCTGCCATGGCCCAGGGCCTTGTGGGCTCAGGAGTTCAGAGGAGGCCTTGGGATGTGCTAGGTCAGACAGTGGGAGCTGACTTCTACACAGCAGAGTTTGGGGGCCCGCCTCTAAGGAAGAAGAAGGGGGCAGAGAGCAGGAGAGGCTTTTTCCTGGCCAAGTCAAGAAGGGTTGTCGATGTTAGAGAGTAGCTGAAATACAATTTGAGTAGACCAGGAACTCAGATAAAGTTTGCATCAGATCTTCTCCCTTATAGGGACGTCTTAGAAAGTAAAAGAATGTTTTTCTTGGAATAAGGGTGTCTAAAACAGATAAGATATGAAATATTGAGATCTTCCAGATTCTTCTTCTTGATGTGTATATAGGGGTGGGAGGACAAAGGAATTTTAGATGTATGTGTCACCATTTATATATTGATAAGAAAAATTGAGTTAAGACTCTTATCAAGTTAAAAATGTCTGACAACTCTACTAAACTAAGACTTTCATAACTAGCTCTTCTATGGAGGAGCACCATACCTTTATGCTGAGGGTACTGAGTGGCTTGGTTTATTATCAGCCATGGCTCCAAAGTGCTTTGCAGTGTATCCTCCTGTGGGTACATAACTTGTTATTTAGCCCAGCGGTGGTCATTTTCACTGAGACGGAAGGAAACTCGTGCTGGTTTTTATTTTTACTCTCATATTCCTTAACCTCTCTGCTTTTTTTCTAATTCATCAACTTTCATGGTGATGTGCTGAGCCTCCACGTACCCTCTGAGCACCAAGGAATGACTGGACTGTGTGTGAAATGCCACTTCGGGAAAGGGCTTCCATCACCACAATCCTTCCCGCTTTCATTTCAGGCATGTCTGGGTCCAGCTGTGTGACGGCTGCACTAGGAAACACCTGGAGTCATAGTGTGAACACCCGGCTGATTTTCCAGTATCTCAACTCAGAGAGAAGACAGGTGAGTGCATTGACAGTGTTCTCTGACTGAATGTGAGCATCCTGGCAACCTTAGAATCTTCTGAAAGTGTTGGCCACATCATCCATCCTGGACCAGCACTGGCAAGGGGATATCAAGAAAACCAGCACCCCTGCTGGCCCCAATAGCAGGAAGAAAGTACAAATTGACGTTCCTCTGATATTTGTAGGTGACCAAGGTGACACCTCTAGGAATCTCAAATTCTCCATCTCTTAAATGATTATTTTATTTCAGCTATATTTTTTGAGAGCTGGATACTTTGCATATGAATTAAATAGTGATGGTGCTTTTTCTTGGAGTAGTATGAGGGAGGACCCAAAAAACCCCAAAATTTATTTATAAAAATTTTGTATTTATTCTTACATATTTACACTTCAGTCACCTTCAAAGTACTCTCAGTTTGATGCAATATTCCTATTGAGATGCTTTTTCACTGCTCAAAACAGTTTTTGAACTCATCAGTTTTGATGACTTTTAGTGCTTTTGCTGTTTTTTGTTTTACCTCTTCCACATCAGCAAATGTTTTCCTTTGAGGACTGTTTTCATTCAAGAAAACAAAACAAAAAAAGTTGCTCAGGGAGAGACCTAGTGAATAGGGAGGATGGGGCACAGGAGTCCTGCCGTTTTAGGGTCAAAAACTGCTGAACACTCAGCACAGTATGGGCAGGTGTGCTTGTAAATCACCCATCATGAAATAGGCAAATGCGTTGAAAGAATCTCAAAAAAATAAAAATAAAAAATTCATTTAGGCCGAATGTAGCCTCTCACAACACTAGATGCTACACTGATGCTGATGGGTTCCTAGAACACATACCTCATGGGGAAAACCTGTACTATAAGGGGCCCACCCTCCAAAAGATAACTCTGTTTTTTGGGGGGTCCCTCCTCATATACTTTGAAAACCTGAGGACAGACAGATGCTACCAAATGCATAAACTATTCCCCAGAGCCTGGGCTCTTTTATATGAAAGCATAGACCTGTAGTTTTAAGTACTGAATGATGCTAGGGAGACCTTAAAGGGTCTCCAAAGAGACCTCCAAAGTCCAAAAAGATGATGACTCTCTCAGGGCTCCCTATTTATGGTTCTTTTTTTTTTTGAGTTGGAGTCTCACTCTGTCGCCCAGACTGGAGTGCAGTGGCCGCTCCCAGCCACCGCAGCCTCGACCTGCTGGGCTCCGGTGATCCTTCCGCCTCAGCCTTCCAAGCAGCCGGAATTACAGGCATACGCTACCATGCCCAGCTGATTTTTTGATTTATTGTAGAGATAAGGTCTCGCCGCCCAGGCGGGTCTCAAACCCGCGGGCTCAGGCAATCCACTCACCTCAGCCTCCCAAAGGCGCGGGATTATAGGCTGAGCCACCGAGCCCGACTTCTATTTATGGTTCTTATGGTCCCATCCAGAAAGGGTACTTTCTACCCCTTTTTAAATTTTCTCTTCCCATTCCAAAGAAAGGGATGCCACTCTCTGACTTCTTTGGTACAATGTTTCATATCAGAAATCTCTTTTTCCTGATGTCTAACTTCAACTTTATCCTGCCATATGACCAGATTCAATCAAGATCTCTCCTGCAAAGGAGGAAGAGGAAGAAGAAGAAGACAGGCTGATTATTTTGATGTTCTGGAGGGGGCATAATTCAGAAGACAGATTTGCCCATCTTGCTGTATATATATATCAAATTTTAATTTATACATTAAATAAAAAGGCATGAAATATTGCACTGGTGCTCCTTTCTGGAGGAGATTGTGGGAAGGGTGCTGTTGCCTTTACCTGGGTGAGATAAATTGGCTCTTTGTCAAAGAGGCAGGAGTTATCAAAAACAGGTGTGCACTATTGCCTGTTCCAGAAGTAACTTCCCAAATGCCCTTGGTTACAGACCAGAGGATTCTTCTTGACTTGTGTGGGACTGTGTAAATGACATTCCAGAATTGAGCCAGCCATGTCCTGGGAAGACAGAACTGCTTGCTTCCATTCAGGGAACATTCTTGAGTTTTCGGGCCCTGGAGTGCTCATTACCTCAGTAGTACCTTTTCTCTGATAATTTAAGTCCCTGAGTTCTGAATCCACTACTTCTCTTTTTAGGGGAACACATTCAAAAATATTCCTGGAGAACCTGGTGACCTTTGGTTGGACCCTAGTTATAAATCATGTTAAATAAACCTTGCTGCAGCCTTCAGGGATACCATTAAGGATTGTCAAGCACCCCTCTCTAAACTCTATCAGAGGAAACTAAATTCTTTGTGAATCAGTGTTGAGTCATTCATTTTCATGGATCCTTGATCCCACTCCTTGAAAACTTACAGCTTATCTCCGCTTTAGATTTTAGAAGGCATTCTTGCTGTAACATGCTGATTTTGTGATTTTATCTATTATAGATGGTATCATGGATTCAGGGCTCCCACATCCTAGTTTTACAAATTCCAGTTGGAATTTATAAGTAAATAAGGAAGCTAGAGCCACATTTTCCCTTTCCTTTTTTTCTTTGTTTTAATAAATTAACAAAAGGAAATAGCTGATAGGAAAAATGCTATTATTTTATGTCTCTTTGGTGACTGGAGGATGTTGGTAGGTCTTGGCTGGTAGGGTCAAATGCAGGCCACTGGTCACAAGGAGAACCAGAAACAAAGTGTGGATGGACCAGTGACAGTCTGTCAACTCATATCCTATTAGACAAGTTGGTAGTGTTATCTTACTCTACAAAGAACTGCTTGTGAGTATCATTACTAATCAATAAGGAATGGACTTAAATGCCTTTGAATTATATTTTCAAACAAGAATTACAAATTAATGTAAAATATGACAAGTGTTAAGTTGACCAATTCAGGCAAAGAACATATACTTAATTACTCTGAAGAAATATGCGTGCCTTTGGGGACCAGTTGTTAAATTTGTGACCTAAATAACTAGGATGAAGTTTGGTATAGAAAACGTGTCTCTATCTGATAACCTTATCATGCCTTAGCAGAGGGTGTGCTTAGTGATTCACTGAGTCTTTCCTGTGGTCTTATTTCACGACAAACTATAGAAGCCATTTGAAGATAAGCCTTTTCTGGGATATATGCACAAGCAATACTTTAAAGCTAGCCTTTAAGGTAATTGTTCCAAATAATACTTTTTCATAACACTGCTTCATAGCAGAACATGCCTGGATCATTTTAGGACAATCAGACTTCTGGGATACCAGACACTTAGAGAAGATACCAGGTACAGTTTTTTGGTTTTTAGGTTTTTTTTCAATGCCCAAGCAGAGGTCACTCCACCAAGGGATCAAGGTTATGGGGTGAGGATTCTGTTTTATCCTGTTTCTATGACATTGAGCTCTACACCAGGGCTCTTAAACGGGAGGCTTAGTCTGAGATCACAGGCCTGGAAGGGGGTCAAGTCAAGCTGAGCAGATCTTCGAGCGGATTAGCCTGAGAGCTGAATTGTGTAGTCCAAGGTTAGGAGCCCTCCCTAGCTGATTATTTTCTTTACACCCTGGAAACGTTGTAAAATTATATAACCAATAAAAGAAATCTCCTTATCAGGGCACAAGTCAAGTTAATTATCTTGTTTATTCTGCTTCATTGTTTGCAAAAACCCTCTTAAGAAGCTGGGAAACATTTTCTTTTGGACGAATGTAACTTTTCCCCCATTTGACTTTTATTTACTCTTCTCTGACTCTGCTTCAATCTTGCCTCATCCTTTTTGCAACATTTTTATTCTTACTGTAGTCATATTCCTAGGCTAGAATTAAAATGGCCTCCACTAGGTTTTGTTGTTGTTGTTGATTTTAATTCATCAAAAATATGTTTTGGTCCACCCTGGGCATGGCATGGCATCACATGGGGGTGCAGAGAAATAGAAAACTTCCATCCCAAGAGTGCTTCTGGTCTAGTAAGGAAGATGTTATACACACACAGACACACACACACACACACACACACACACACGCGCGCGCGCGCGTACACACACACGTGCACACGCACACAAACACACACACACACACACACTACCCATGGGTGATCAAAATGCAGCGTGGGAGCTCAAGAACAAACGAACACTGGGTACTGTCTCGAGGCAGTGTTCGATTGATTTTCTTATGAGCATTTAAAACAACAACTGTTTTAAATCCAAAGGAAAGAAAAACAATCAAAGGCATAATAAGTATTTTCAGGAAAAGATAGGGCTTGAGTGTCAGCTTAAAATCAGTGGTCCTCAAGTCTGGCTGTAGTTTCGATTCATCCCAGGAGCAAGTAGACCAGTGCCAGTCACAGCCCACCCTTCCCTGATCAATCAAATCGGCATCTCTGCCTGTAGGACTGGGCACTGGTATTGCTGTTATTTGCAAAACTCCCCCAGGTGGCTCTCATGTTTAGCAAGGGTTGAGAACTCTGCCTTCTACGAAAGATAACATTGGGTTCGTCAGAAAGGGAGGTGCTGGAGTGTGGTGGGCAGCATGGAGGAAGAGTGGGAGGGCAGGCCACATGTGGAGGGCAGTGGGGCTCTGCCCCATAACAGGAGTGGAGGGTTTGGGTGCACAATCGACATTCCCTCATGAATCACCTCCTCTCTACTGGTTGCTGTGCTAATGAGATGCTGGAGACCAGGAGATGGTTGCTGCCGTCTGGTTGTTCATGGTCTTCTTGGGGAGACAGACAAACATGTAAACAGGATGTGTAGTAACCAGAAATTGAGTAAGCAAGGAGGAGATAGGGACTCTTGGGAATGTTCTGTTGCCGTGGGTGAGGCAGGGCTTGCAAGATGATTGGCTGAGACCTTTGCTTGGGAAACCAGGTGGCTTGTAGCAAGGCTGGAAAAGCCAGAGTCAGGCTGGCCATCCTTGAAAAAAGGATGAAAACATTCATGTTCACATTCAAAGCTTCATGAAGTCTATTCCTTCCAGCCACATATGGGATTATATAAATTTTCAAGTGCCCTAGAAGGAGTAATGAAGTAAATTAATCCTGACTATGCCTTACACCCCCTTGATGAAATAAATAT